TCTGGAGCTGGGAGTGGCAACCAGTGAAGCCACATGCCTCAACCACTAAAGCCCGCATGCCCGAGAGCCCGAGCTCCTCAACAAGAGAGCAGCCTCCATCACAGCAACTAGAGAAAAGCCCAGGCAGCAACGAAGGCCCAGATGGCCTAAACAAATAAATAAAATTATTTTTAAAAAAAGAAAAGAGTAAGCTTAAATTTCTTCAGTACCAATGACTTTCAACACTGTTTTTAAAACAACTCTGCTCTGATGAGCCTCCACCAACTAACCTTTGGATCACACCCAAGGAAGTACTCATCACCCAAGGAAGTACTGCAGCAGAAGAACCTCACTTCAACATTAATTCTCAAAGACAAGGACTTGAGAATTTAGAGTAGAAACTCCCTGACTCAGAAGGCGGTTAATGTGTACTTCACTTTGGCCCAGGGATGGACTCAAGGTTTCTTTCATACTACCCTGAAACTTGATCTGAACAGGGTTATCTATTCCCTCTGGATCTCAGTGTACTTTTCTGCTATAAAAATGTTTTGGAATAGTTCTCTCTCCCAGGAAAGGGTATTTACCTAAATTGCAGCAGGTACATGTAACTTAAAAGCAATCATCTTCAAGTATCTTTGAATGCACGATTAGCATTCAAATCTACGGCTTCATTATAACCCAGCCTTACGTTTGCAGCAAAGCAGGCAACGCAAGGACCACTATTTGGCAACTGAGTCTTTCAAACAATAACTAAAGTAAGATAGCAGAAAATGTTTACGTAGCATTTGCTGAGTGCCAGGCACTGCACTGGACATTTTACATGCATTAACTCAGTTAATTTCTTTTCTTGAGGAAGAAGTTCCATTACCTCTACTTCACAGATGAAAGCAAAAATAAAGAAACCTGGCCAGGGCCTGAACACAATTGTCAAGAGGCACTGCCAAGATCTGAACTTGGGTTTGATGGTTCTCACAATCCAAGCTCACAGTCTGCTCTGTGTTGCTTCTGAAAGAAGCCTGAAATTAAAAAGATGACTGTAACTAACATAATCACAGGCCACAGTGATGAAAAGAACCTGATTCACAATGCAGGAAACTGAGGCTCCTGAGATAAAATGACGAGCTTGACCTTTTTAAACCAGCTTCTTAATCACAGAGACAAGGCACTAGACATCCCAAGAGACAGCTTTAGGTGCCTCCTACTGCACTGCATCACAAAGGGGATCACACACAGCACTTCTCATTACCCTCACCTCTCATGTGGGTAAACACTGCCTCCAAGTATGCCTCCATCACGAAGTCTTCACCATAACTTATGAATTTTTGGATATCTTTAAAATTTATTTTCACAATGAAACTAAAGCCAAGTAAATAATGTGTTCAAAGAGGAAGACAGAATCACCACCAAGAAGAAATGAAAAGCAGGTCAAGACACCCTGTTCAGGAAAATTATTCTACATTTTAATAATATAAGTCAACTCTGAAAGTGACAGTTGAATCAGTGACAACCATAAATTTTCTAATCTGATTAAATATATTGGATTCAATGTTCCAAATAAAGGTTGCATGTTTAAAGGGCCATTAACGTCAAAAAAACTTACCATTAACACTTCCTCTTCTAAAAGAGTCTTAATTTTGCTATTAATGAACTGTGATCACTAACTAGGGTAGAAGTTGACAATAACAACACATGCTTCAGAAAACAAAGAACTTGAGTCAATCTTAAAATCCTGCCACTGTGTTCCTCTAGTTAGAAGGCAACAAACAGGAAGAGTACCAAACAAGGGATCAAAGAAACACGGAGGCTACCACTTCTTCCTCTGCATGTTTACTGGGAAGACCATGGAATTACTTAACATTTTTGTATAGAAGAACACTACTAGTTTCAAAATAAATTATGTTTTGCCAATGCAGGAAATAACTGACCAGAGGTAGGCTAGCATAAGCACTCTTCCCTCTTATTTACTGTATGCTTATTAAATTCTAGGGCTTCCCTGGTGGCTCAGATGGTAAAGAGTCTGCCTGCAATGCGGGAGACCTGAGTTCAATACCTGGGTTGGGAAGACGCCCTGGAGAAGAAAAAGGCTACCCACTCCAGTATTCTGGCCTGGAGAATTCCATGGGCTGTATATTCCATGGGGTCACAAAGAGTCGGACATGACTGAACGACTTTCACTTCACTATTGAATTCTAAAAGAAACCAAAGCCAGCTCAGCATATGACATGGCATAGAGTATGAAACAGAGTATGGACAGTCTGGACCCCACAATGGAACAAAGATAAAGATATGAAACTGCATTCTGGTCTTTGTTTTTAAACCTACCTGATAAAACTTGTTCACCATTATAAACAAAGATGTTATTTTAACTACCGAGTTCTGGTCCAGTGGTCCAGTTTAGGTCTTCATTAGGTAATAAGACATGAGGCAGCACTCCAGGACGACAGCGCTCTGTCCACTTTGTTCACCGTGTGAGGAGTGACAGAAATGCATCTTCCCTGGACTATACAGGGAATTTCAAGCGGATCTAGTTTCAACCATTTGTTTTTAAAGCTAAATAGGGTCAAGTTGGGAGACTGTGGGTAAACAAAACCTGACCTTAAAAAAAATCAACATTCTTCCACTCATACATCTTTACAGAGATAGGTTTTTCTGTTGTTTTTTTTTTAAAGTAGCTTCCTGATGAGTTTCACATTCACTAGTCTGTTCAAATGGTGGTAAAAAAAAAATACATAAATAAATAATAATAAATTTTTAAAAATAAATAAATGTGCATTCAAAACTCAGGAAGAGAAAAAGAAAAAGCAGTAACAATCACAATCTCAATTCCTTATTATTCCTAACTTGTACTCATGGGAAAAAAACTAAGTCCAAAGACCTAAAAAAAAATCTGCTTGACATGAAATAAAACTGGTGTGTCATTTCTATTCCGAAATGGAAGCTGTTATTAAGGTATGAAACTCTTCCCTTAGATTTTAAGTTAAATGAGAACACATCTTTTTAAAAAATAAATAAATAAGTAGTGAAAAGTAAAGTCCTACAATCTCCAGCCATGCCTAGGAATTTGTCCCACTGCTCAGGATAGCAAAACAGGGCTTCAAATTATTTCACACCAGATAGATTCCTTTCCAGATTAAAACAAACACAAAATAGGAAATATTAATGCCAAGAGCCAATCAAGTGACAGTAAGACCATACAGAAAAACATTTGCAGTTTTTCACTGTTTAGAATGGCAGGTCTCTGACAAATTTATGCTTGCCCCTATTCCATCAAAACTGCAAGGACAGCTCAAAATATGATCCTATTACATGTGCTGTTTCAAAGAGAACAACTCCAAAGAAGTCTGCCTCATTCCTAACAATGAAGAGCTAGGCATCAACATTTAGGACAATATCAGAAATCTAATTCTCGCTGTTGCCATCAAATATGCACTTATCTTTACTCACAGCCAACATATTTAAATAAAGCTTTCAAAATGAATGTAACCAAAATGTACCCAAAAACTGACCAACTTACTAAAAGATGTGTACAAGTTGATATATTTTTTTAAATATGTGGGGGAAACTTGGTGAAGAGCTTTGCTTTATGGTCTGTGTATTAAAACAAAGATGGACTTGACCTACAAAATGAAGATAGGGTCAACTGTAACCAAAAAACAGTATGCTTCCCCTGGTGGCCAACCGAGGAATGGAGAAGGCATGCACAGGGGAGAAGCAGCCTGGCCTGGGAGTCCCATCCTGTCGCTCTTATAAATGAGAAGTGACGACCAAAAAAGGAAGAGGTGGGGGAAGGGGAAACTATAGGAAGACTAACCGAAGTTGAAAAGGAATATAAACCTGGGCGTCAGACAACAGATACTTTAAGAGATTTAAATCGTCAACAGACCAAAACTGTAGAAGGCAAATGCAGGAAAGGTCATTTATTTCCAGAGAACCCAACAGCTCACTCAGGGATGCCTACGTATTTTCACTTCAAAGAACACCCAGAGTTTCATACCTTAATAACAGCTTAAGAGCAATCGCCTTTTTCAAGGGCTAGATCCTGGCAATTTTCTGCAGTCTTGTTTCCAAGGAAAAGCATTTATGCATTTATTCTCTCAAATAAACTCGTGGTGTAACCTACATAGAGAACCACCAGTTCTAAAGCCCTCCAACCAGGACTGTTAACTCAGTTCCACAAGGTTCTCTTTTGAATTTGATTTCTGAAATAAAACCCACGTCCTTTCAAACACTTTCCACGCCAACAATCTTTAAAGACAGTCTTATACGGAGACAAGCTAGAATCTCACTGACGAATTCCTTTGTCTGGTAGGATTTTTCTGGTACTTTGAATTCGCTTGCACACAGAAGAGCAACAAGGGTAGCAAATGTTCCAAGCAAGCCGGTTGGGATGCCTTGGAGGTGTTAGGCTAAAGCTTTCTGAGGTTCTAACCTTTCACAACCCCTTCCTTTAAAAAAAAGAAAAAGAAAAAAGGAAATAACACACACGTTTACAAATAGATCCTAAAAATCAAACTGCCACCAGCAAGCCTCTCTTCCCCGGGCAGGCGCCCTCTGGGAAGCACACTTCTTTTACTAACTGGTTTTGGGGGGAATCTCAGGACGGGAGGGTAGTCGGGGGCAGGCAGGAGCCCGGGGGCCGACAGGAGAGGGCACGCGGGGCAACCTTCCGCAGAGGAGAGGCGGGTCCGAGGCCGTCCCGAGCCCTGTGGCGCTCGCAGGAAGCTAAGTCTCCGGCTCGCGGCCACCCCCGCCCGGTCCCGGCGCGGCTCGCGCGGACCGGGGACGCCGGAACCCCAGGCCAGGTGGCCAGGTGTGGCCGGCGCCGCCGCCTCGCGTCCGACCCGCCCGGGCGACCCTCGGGCCTCCCTGAGGTGGGGGGCGGGGGGCCCGGCCCGCCGGCAGGACACACTGGCACGAGCGTCTCCCCGCGGACGGCAGGACCCACACCCACAGAAAGAAAAGTTGTCCGAGGCCGTCCGCCCCCTCGGGTCGCCGGCCGGCCGGCCCGGAGTACTACTCACCGGGGTCGAAATCGGGCACCACCGCCTGGTACTGGGGTCCGACCCGCATGCCGCCGCCACCTGCGGGAAAAGCAGAGGGGGGCGGTCAGCGCGCGGACGAGCGGGCGGGCGCGGGGGCGGCGCGGGCGGCTGCCACCTACCGTGCTCCTCGTCGCTGGACGAGCCGGAGCTGCCTTCCTCCCAGGAGTTGCTGCTGCTGTTGCCATTGGGCGCCGCCGCCGCCGCCAAACTTTTATTCTGCCCATTATTGGGGGCGGCGGCGGCCGAGGCGGAGGCGGCAGCTGAGGCGGCGGCGGCCGAGGAGGCGGCGGCGGCCGAGGCGGCGGCGGCGGCTGAGGCGGCGGCCGAAGCGGCGGCGG